CTGAAGAAGACTATCGTGGTATGAAATGAATGACAGCCGTTCGCCTTAAACTATTAAACAGCTCATCGTAAGATTAATGAGAACACACACCATTCACATTTCATGAGGCTATACACTCGATCAAAAACATCCTGCATGAGTATAATATTCCGATTTCTGACAATAGATCCTCCTAAATGGTTACATCAATGGACATCTTTCAATACCCGATATTGTTTTTTAACCATTGAACAACTGGATAATGATACAGGTAATACAGTTTGTGGATACGTGTGCGAAGAAAAATGTTTAACATGACGCCCCTGCTACTCTCGTATAGCACCTTTAGTCTTATCCCGACCACTCAAACAGGCACTTCTTACCCGTACCATGACCCATTCACCCTTTCAGACCACATAAACGCATTCATTACACATTCAGCCAAGCAATCGGGTTCATTGTCTTGCTCCAAGGCCATTCGACATGTGGTGAGGAGCCGGTGATGAACCGCGATATGTAAATGGTAACATGACCTCGTAGCTGTATACCACCGTTGTCTAATCTTGCCGACCAGCGTCAAACCCTTCACACTAACGTGCACATTCACCCTTTCACACAATTCACACAGCGATGGCAAACGTCTCGAACAGAACACTAAATCATTCCATTGCCAGCATTCACACACGACTGCACGGCATCAGAGCACATCCGGTCAGGTACTCGAACAATGTCGCAACCAGAGCGGGATCGAATCAACAACTTCTCGATTAGTGGACAACCCTGCTCTACCTCGACCACAGCCTTAGTTATAGCCAAGTCCATGCTAATGTCGTGCGTTTACAGCTATTGTGTATTTGTATGTTTCTCTGAAGCTCTCTTCTCTCTCTCTTTTCTCACACACCATACTCAGTGTGGATGAGTACGAGTGTAATTCCTGTAGCCCGGGTTCGGTTTTACAATGATGTGCAAATAACTGTGCAGTGCTCCCACAGGCACTCCTTACCCTGGACTCCTCCCGCTGCATGCTACAAAACAGTTGTTTTATTGGAAAATACTACTGTAGCGTTAGTACAATGTTACTGAACCAATTGATGTAAAGTTGACGCACGAGCAGCTTGAATTTAAACGTCGCAACATCTCGAACTCATCAAAATTGAAATGAAGAACAAATATTGTTAGTCCACATCATTCCCAGGTTGCATACCAGGGTACTGTGGTGTTTGAGAGTATCTCTCCACTCTCGTCGCAGAGTAGGGACACATATTGCAAGTGGAAGAGTAGCCCAGAACGGACAAGCCAAAACACTTGATCATACAACAGGAACACCAGGAAATAATATTCATTCTTGCTCATTCTAAAGCTCTAAACTAATTTAACAGCAAGAATACAAAACAAAAACACTACATGGGCTGGCTTTTAAGGGTATTATGCTTCTGATATAGTAATGATGAATGAAGATCCCAGACTGACAAAATCTCTGAGCCTACAACCTATACTACCAACAATGACCATTTATTTCAGCTGGAGTAACTGCTCCATCTAGTGACACTGTAGTGAAATGTCAGGTTCATAAATTGATGATAAATTAATATATCAATTAGTTATTTTGTGAATTCTGTCTGACAATAATTTATGGATTACCTAAAACCTGGTTGTTACTATCCAATCTATTGATTCCAGTCACAACGAATACATCGTTCTGTCATGTAACAATATAACAATTTTAATTTGGTAAAGGTAGAGCCGGTAAACGGCAGCTTGCAGAGATATTTCAGTCTAGACCTCTGTGGACTTTTTCTCTGTGAAAAAATCTGGTTCCTC